TATGAAATAAGCACATAGGTAGAATGACAGGCAGCTACAGTCGGCTCAAAGCAAAGAAACTACAATGATCTGCAAACTGAGTGTCAAAAATACGAGGTGAATGCAAGACAGATTGGACCGGCAGGAATCTAGACATTTCACGAGGACATTGTGACACTTTCTCTTAGGGCTGTGCGATTATGGCAAAAATCATAATCACGATTATTTGGGTCAATAATTGATATCACGATTATTAAATACGATTATTCATTGACTTTGAAAACATCCATTTATTGAACTTTAAAACAAATACAAATAATAATTTGAACAGTATCTTTTTAACTGTTGATTACCCTGAACGTATCATTCAACTGAAAAACCAATACAAAAATAAATAAAAGAAATTATACATTTAAATAAATAATATCAAAATAATAAATACCAATAAAGAAGATCAACAAATATTTTGGAGCGCACTTCCACAAGCTACTAAACATATATAAATATGATAAATACAAATAAATGAGACCAAAATAATATGTTGCACAGTCACAACCTAGCAAAGCAAAATAATAGTTTTTTTCGATTATGTTGTTTTCGTAATTGTGGCAGGCCAAAATCGTAATTGCGATTAAAATACGATTAATTGCACAGCCCTACTTTCTCTTGTTTCAATCTTTATTGGTTGCACAAAGTTAATCTTTCTCCACTAGTTATTTACAACTACTATCAGAGAAGCTCCTTTTTTTCAATAATAGTTGAACTTGTAAATCTCCAGGACGTAAGGAATGATCGTACATGCAGTCTTTCTTCTGGAAGTAGCTTGAATCTAGATGGACTCTTTTCTTTGTTTGTTTTACACATGAGTTCACTGAGTTCTCCACGACTTCCAATTACCGTTTGAAATGAAGCGTGTGCAGATCAGCAGCATTTCAGATTCTCTATTTTTCAGAAGGCCGATGCACATCAGCGTCCAATAAAGAAAAGAGGCAGTAAGTGCAGTTCAGATGGAGGAGAGATGACTTGTTGACCTGAGATTAGACGGGAGAGGGAAAGACGATAAAGACATACACTTGGTTTGGTAGAAAACTCAACAATGATGCTTCAATGCATCTAATGGCGCATTTCCACTACTCGGCCTCGCTCGGTATGGCTAGGCCTCGTTAGGACTGGCTCACTTTATGGCACATTTCCATTACAGTTTAGGAACAGAGATAGTAACTATAGTAACGCAGTGTAGGCGGAGCCGTGACGTCATCTTCAATGAGAACCCCAGAAAAACAACACAGCCGTTAGCTGTTAGCACTCAGAGCTCACAGCTCCTCATATCTGTTCAGAAACTAGACCAAAGTGAAACAAGTACAAACCACAGACTGCCTGTGTCATGGTGAATACAGTCGCTGCTTTATTTATGTCTGTATAGGCCGTTGTTGTGAGTGTGGACGGTCGGAGCATATACTGCGTTAGCTTAGCCAATCTACATTTAGAAAACACGCATTTTAAAAGGTGTTTCTCCTGCCGTCTGTCTGCAGACTTGACAAAGCATTAATTCATGGTTTTTACTAACCGGTATCAGTATGTTGTTACTTCATCATTTTGAAACGTGTATTACAATTAAATCACGGTCAAATATGTCCATCTTGTTGTAGTTGTAGCCCCCTTGCCAGCGATTCTCTCTCTAGTTTAGCATACTCAGCCCGACTCAGCCTGGTTGTCTCTGGCCCTAGACCCACGATTTTATGAGGCCAGAAAAACTGTGAATTAGGACCCGCCGGCCGGTACTAGGCCAAGTGGAAACGCAACCAAAGACGGGCCGCTGACGTCACAGCCCTCTTAAACCGGGCTGCGCGCTGTAGTGGAAACGCGCCATAATTGGATGTTTCTCACTGAAAATGCAACTAGGGAATCTTAGTTTACCTCAATTTAATCTTGTTTAGACTTTTGTTTTTCATCAAATGACCAATTATTTTCAATCTGTACCGATGATTCAACGAGGCAACCATTTGTGTTCAACCATCTTGTTTCCATACATGTATTTTATGCCAATTGTGAACATGGGAAACACTGAATGGAAACGTCAACCTGATTACCTAAAAAAAGGTTTTTACACTCGCTTGCAGGTGATTTTTCTGCCTTTGTCGAAAGTAGGGATGTCCCGATCACCTTTTTTTGCTCCCGATCCGATTCCGATCATTTAATTTTGACAATCTGCCGATACCGATTTTTCCCGATCCGATCTTTATGCAATGCATTAAGAGAAAAAAAAGGTAACAGATAACGGCTGGTCATCCAACGCGATGAATTCAGCTATCTTGGCTGGTATTGTTTTGGCCTTTTCACTGTTCTGGGGCAGTTTCTCTTTCCTTTTAAAAGTCTCTGAAAGTGTCGGTTGTTTCAGTGCCGTTACCTGAGTGGCCGCTGTGTACTCGTCGTGTTGTTGTTGGTGTTTGTATTAGATTGGTCGTGTTGAACGTAGCTCTGTTCTTTCCACCACGCGGAACCTCCGCCTTGCAAACATTGCATCTGGCTGTTACACTGCCTTCGCTTTCAATTTTATAATACTTCCAAACTCCTGACATTTTCTCTGTCCCGACTCCCGAGGCACCAGCTGAACGTAGCCTCTCGTTACACCGGCTGAACGTAGCCTCTCGTTACACCGGCTGAACGTAGCCTCTCGTTACACCGGCTGAACGTAGCCTCTCGTTACACCAGCTGAACGTAGCCTCTCGTTGCACCAGCTGAACGTAGCCTCTCGTTACACCAGCTGAACGTAGCCTCTCGTTACACCAGATGAACGTAGCCTCTCGTTACACCAGCTGAACGTAGCCTCTCGTTACACCAGCTGAACGTAGCCTCTCGTTACACCAGCTGAACGTAGCCTCTCGTTACACCAGCTGAACGTAGCCTCTCGTTACACCAGCTGAACGTAGCCTCTCGTTACACCAGCTGAACGTAGCCTCTCGTTACACCAGCTGAACGTAGCCTCTCGTTACACCAGCTGAACGTAGCCTCTCGTTACACCAGCTGAACGTAGCCTCTCGTTACACCAGCTGAACGTAGCCTCTCGTTACACCAGCTGAACGTAGCCTCTCGTTACACCAGCTGAACGTAGCCTCTCGTTACACCAGCTGAACGTAGCCTCTCGTTACCACCAGCTGAACGTACTCTCGTTACACCAGCTGAACGTAGCCTCTCGTTACACCAGCTGAACGTAGCCTCTCGTTACACCAGCTGAAACGTAGCCTCTCGTTACACCAGCTGAACGTAGCCTCTCGTTACACCAGCTGAACGTAGCCTCTCGTTACACCAGCTGAACGTAGCCTCTCGTTACACCAGCTGAACGTAGCCTCTCGTTACACCAGCTGAACGTAGCCTCTCGTTACACCAGCTGAACGTAGCCTCTCGTTTACACCAGCTGAACGTAGCCTCTCGTTACCCACTGAACGAGCCTTGTAACCCGCTTAGCCCTCTCGTTACACCAGCTGAACGTAGCCTCTCGTTACACCAGCTGAACGTAGCCTCTCGTTACACCAGCTGAACGTAGCCTCTCGTTACACCAGCTGAACGTAGCCTCTCGTTACACCAGCTGAACGTAGCCTCTCGTTACACCGGCTGAACGTAGCCTCTTGTTGCACCAGCTGAACGTAGCCTCTCGTTACACCAGCTGAACGTAGCCTCTTGTTGCACCAGCTGAACGTAGCCTCTCGTTACACCAGCTGAACGTAGCCTCTTGTTAGCTTACTGCTACTATTAGACACTGCACCCACTCTGTTGCCAGATTTGAGAGAAATAAGCAACCAGGTTGATGAAAACAAGCCCAAAAGAAGCAACACATACATGATGTTGTGTAATTTTAAACCAAAACTAAGGCCTCAGGATGACTTTAAGACGTGAACATGGTCATTTTTGTTTTGTAACATTAAATAAAATAATAAAAATATTTTATTAAAAAAGAAAGAAAAAAAATCCCGATCCCCAATTTTTTTCTCCCGATTCCGATCTTTTGAAAATCACATGATCGGCTCCGATCCCCGATCGCGTGATCGGATCGGGACATTTGTAGTCGAAAGAGAGTTATTAGATTTGGAAACGCGTTTGTTGAAAGGGGGCGAATATTAAACGTGCATGCTGCTTCTGTTCTTTCAATCTCTCCAGATATATATTGACATTGTCTTCAGACATGGCCAATACTAGCCAACATGAAAGAACAATTCCCAATGTGCGCCAAAAATACAAAGTTAGGTCATTAATTACAACGAAGTTTGGGTTTTACAATGGGGCGAAAATGCTCGTTGTTTGGGTTTGATTTATAGTTTGATGCATTGTGTGTCCTTTCCAAAGATGCAGCCTGCAGTTTGTCCTTGAGTGTTGACGCAGGTTTGCACTTAATAACCTCAGTGACGTCTGCAGCTGTTTCATCGCCTTCAAAATCCACCCCAGCTTCTCCACAGCTGTTCATCTTATATATAGAACAATAGAGCCAATAGACCTCTTTTCTTAGGGCAGCTGTCATGTCAGCAGGAGCAGAAAGAGTCGATCTGTTATCAGAAGTGATGAGCTGTCGTTTGGTGAAATAAAGGCATGGGAACATTTGGAGACGATGGAGAAAGGCAGTGCAGATTGTAGTTTGTAATTGGGCCAAAATGTCCACATCTTCCCTCTGTGTCTCTCTGGATATTAGGAGACTTTAGAGACAAAGGCTGCTGTCCGATGAAAAAGCTCTCCATTCAAATGTAAAACAACCTTTACGTATGCGATTCATCTGAAGTTCTAGTTCTTAATAGTAGAATAGAAAAACACAGTTGGCCCGTTAACTCATGTAAAACGATTTGTATGAGCTAATGTTTCAAACTTAGAGGGTTTTAAGATCCATTCTGTCTTTTTAGAAATGGTTTGGGAGTCAAACTGTGTGTGTGTGTGTGTGTGTGTGTGTGTGTGTGTATCCTGTTGGTGTCAGTGACCTGTATACTCAGTGTGTTGTTGAACGTGATGTAATGAGTCGACCTGCTGTGTTCCTGCAGTGCACCAGACTGACGGAGGAGAGAGACGAGGCCGAGAGACAACTCAAACACATCAAGAGAGGTGAGTCCACAGATCCTCTGCATCCTCACACACACACACACACACACACACACACATACACACACACACACACACACACACACACACACACACACACACACACACACACACACACACACACACACACACACACACACACACACACACACACACACACACACACACACACACACACACATAACAAGTGTTTGTGTTTTCTAAATGTAAGTATATATCTCATTCTTGAAATAAGAAAGATATCTCGATGCTAGCAAAGCTACACATGTCTTGCAATAACCAGAAAGTCACTGATTCCAAACACAAGCCAAATGTACTCAAAAACAAACTGTCAATTCTTCTTTTACTATTAGCTTTTTCTTAATTTTGAATGAATCCTAAAGACCCAAGGTGTAGTAAACGTATCATTTAAAAAGGTTAAACACAGTCGATCAGATACCAAGTAGCACAGACCCCACATTTAGACAGGTGACACCTTCACTTCCTCCCCCTTCACACAATGAGGAGGGGGGGGGGGGTGTACCACATGTTTCCTTGACGACTGTCAGGATATTTAAGCCAACAGTGGGAGAGCTTTTGTGTTTTAGGGCAGATTAACTTCTGATAGTAGCTGGTAGGAAGAAGGCTGCTGTCATGACGATTAACACAGGTAAGAAATTGGGGTTTTTACAGCTTTTATTGGTAATAATCAGACATAGATGCTTGTAGGCGTTAGCTCTTATGTACATTGCCTTGTCTATCTATCTATCTATCTATCTATCTATCTATCTATCTATCTATCTATCTATCTATCTATCTATCTATCTATCTATCTATCTATCTATCTATCTATCTATCTATCTATCTATCCATCCATCCATCCATCCATCCATCCATCCATCCATCCATCCATCCATCTATCTATCTATCTATCTATCTATCTATCTATCTATCTATCTATCCATCCATCTATCTATCCATCCATCCATCCATCCATCCATCCATCCATCCATCCATCCATCCATCCATCCATCCATCCATCCATCCATCCATCCATCTATCTATCTATCTATCTATCTATCTATCTATCTATCTATCTATCTATCTATCTATCTATCTATCTATCTATCTATCTATCTATCTATCTATCTATCTATCTATCTATCTATCCATCCATCCATCCATCCATCCATCCATCCATCCATCCATCCATCCATCCATCCATCTATCTATCTATCTATCTATCTATCTATCTATCTATCCATCCATCCATCCATCCATCCATCCATCCATCCATCCATCCATCCATCCATCCATCCATCCATCCATCCATCCATCCATCCATCCATCCATCCATCCATCCATCCATCCATCCATCCATCCATCCATCCATCCATCCATCCATCCATCTATCTATCTATCTATCTATCTATCTATCTATCTATCTATCTATCTATCTATCTATCTATCTATCTATCTATCTATCTATCTATCTATCTATCTATCTATCTATCTATCTATCTGTGATGCTTAAAGCTAATGTCTTGGATGACCTAAAGTATTGTTGTGTGATACATGATACTAATGCTTAAAGGTTGTACAACATTTTGATATCACTTCAATTTAACTTTGAAAAACCGTCCAATTCTTTCTCATAATTTCGCTTCACATTTAAATTACTCGAAAATTAGCAAAAACCAACTGAGAAGCGTCTTCTTGTAGTTTCTTAGTCTTTATTTTGGCTGCATTTGCTTTTACTTGTCGTTGTTTCCATTATATTCCACCTGAGTCTTCAAATCTTGTGACCTTTGCTTAGACTCGCCGTTTGATTGTCATTAAACAGCTCCGTATTTGGCAGCCATTGGATGAAAAACAGATTTGAGAAAGCCCTTGTCCTGCAGTGGTTTGACTTTTAAAAACGAGTACAATCAAAATGTAGGACATTGTTTGAATATATGGGACAACGGATAGAAAAGCGGGTCACCTGGTCATCCTATTAGTGTGAGGCAAGTTTCTTTCAGAGCTGCTGGATATTGACTTGAACAGATGAATTAGTTTTACAAAAAATCGGGCATAATCTGCGTGTTTTAGCGAGCACTTCATTGGTGTCATTAGAGTTCAGAAAGTAACGATAGACCTCTGTGTGACAGGAAGTTGATCGAATGTGTGCAGAATGGCTAAGTTTGGGGTCTTTTTCTCAAGGTGAAGCACACTTTAAAGAACTTTCTTTAACAATACGGTCATTCGTTGGAATAATGTACCATATTTGATCAAGTAAGACGACACGTATATATCTTTTGTCCAGGTTTTGGTGACATTAAATTCACAAAAGCGGAGAGAAGAGTTGAATAACCATCACATATCACAGACCAGTCTTTAATGAGTTATGTATGTATCGGACATTAATGCTGGGTTGATTTACAGTATGTCTTTCTCTGCTTATGGATCAAGTATGTTCCTCCATATATTGCAGTATACAGTATGCAATAAGGTTTACTAAGGGCCGTTACTGTCAGCTGTGTTCAGTGTTTTACAGACGCAGTGAAAAATGGACTCAATGATTGTATTTCTACTTATTTACTTATTTAAAACCGAACAGTACACACAGCTGGATATAACACAAAAAGAGATCTAAGCTGACAAAGCAAACTTTTGATATCTTAGACTTTAAATACGACTCTGACCAGTTCACATGTGTATTTTCGGTCAGGGAAATAATGATGATACCCTGTAAGATAAACGCACGATAAGCCAGACTTGTTGTCAGAAACATCTCATAAACGTGTCTGAAGCAGCAAAACCTGACCTAAACTATTTTACTTGGAAACCAAACAGTACAGCTGGATGTAACACAAAAAGACATCTAAGCTGACAAAGAAATATCTTTTTGATATCTTAGATTGTTTAAACACGACTCTGACCAGCTCACAGGAGTATTTTTGGTCACATGGGGTGGGCTTCTATTTCACAGTTAAAAGTGAAACAAATGATGAAACCCTGTAAGATAAACGCACGATAAGCCAGACTTGATGTCAGAAACATGTCAAAAAACTTGTCGTGACATGGATGTGCATCTTAAGTTGGAAACCAACCAGCAGATGAAGCTGGATGTAAGACATAAAGAGATCTAGGCTGACACATTTGGATTTTTAGTAATATTTTAAAGTTAGAAGTGAAATGAAAGATGATACCCTCTAAGATAAACACATGCTATGCCCTTTGGTTAACCAGACTTGTTGTCAAAAACGTGTGTGAAGCATTAAAACCTGACCTAAAGTGATGCGAGTCAGCAGAAAGGCTGATCCTCCTCTTCATAACGTCGTGTCATACGTTCATTCTCTCACTCATTAATTCATCCTCGGCCGCTCCCCAGAGAACACAGCAGTCGCGCTTGTCATGTTATTCCTGTGAATTATTAAAGCCCACATGTTATGAATTATTCAGCAGCAGAAAATGGGGGAAGGATGAGTGTTTGGAGGATGGGGGAGGGGGGGGGGGGTTACTCTCCTGCCTGACTCTTTATCCATTGTGGTCCTTTCAAAAGGCCTTTTCTACCTGCTACTCCATATTTGATGGCCACATTTTAATGGATTTAATGAGGGAGCGTCTGCTCGGCAGTAGGTACTTCATTTGAGGCTCGTTTGAATCTCAAAAGGCCAAATTAACCGACTATAATACAGCGAAAACATGACCTGACCCAAGACTCAACGTTAGATAATTAACACCAGTATTTTGAACGAAAAGCCAAGTTTAATGGTGAAATTATGCCCGAAATATTGTAAATGTACATGATAGTTTACAGACTTCCTGTTTCACCGAAGCATTCTTCTTTTCTGTGTAAACATAATCATTTCAGGTGTGCTCACAGTTTTACCAAGAGTCAGTACAATAAGTAGACTCTGGGTTTGAAAAGTGAGTCCAATGAAGAAGTGCTTTTTCAGTCAAATTGTATAGAAGTCTAAACGAAAATTGCCCGACTCGTTTGAATCTCAAAAGGTTCAAACTGGGCGAATTAACCGACTATAATACAGTGAAAACATGACCCAAGACTCACCGTTAGATAATCAACATCTCCATAGTGGCATTTAATACGTGATCGTATTTGATGTTTTTCTATTCATTCATTGTCCCCAGAGGATGAATCCTGAGTGCTCAAAGCTTCCAACATTTTGGACTGCAACCAAAAAAACCTGCTATTTCATAACTTATAAGCAGGGGTGCACATAACTGGTACACAGGTACGCATGCGCGGCAACAATCTGAAATGCGTACCGTCACTTGTGTCACAAAGCGCATTTGCGTACCGACGTACTTGTGAAGCTTTTCCAGAAGGCGGTTAGATCACCGGACGACTGAGTCGGTCTCCTTGTGCACAGACGGGGCTGCTGTTAACGTCGGTCTGTACAGCAGCATTGCGCTAAAACAGCTGATCACAACGTTCACACGCGCTGTGGTCACGAAGCTCTGTACTCTACTACCACCCCCCCCCCCCGTTGACAATCGCGATGCAGAGGGCTTCATGGGAACTAAGTTGGAGTACCAAACACTGACTCACCTCACTGAGAAAGTTGTGTGCACCCCTGCTTATGACCCATTAATGGTGTGTTGTGTTGAGTCATTTTCTGCAGAGAGCCTACAGCCTTCTGTCTGGACTCTGGACATCAACCTGAACCCAACTTTAGAATATTTGGTCAATGAGCGTTCTAAAAAAATCTAGAGGTTGATAGAAGTAGCATCTCGGTGGCTGACAGATTGTTTTGTCTATTAAAATGTTTCTATAAGATTTGGTACAAACATTCATTGCTGAATCCTGAGTGCAGCGAACACCTCAAAGCTTCCAACATTTTGGACTGCAACCAAATATACCTACTATTTAATGACTTATAACCTATTCATGGTGTGTGGTTGTGTACTTTTCTGCAGAGAACCTACAGCCTTGTTTGTTTGTAGCCTTTATTTAACCAGGTTAAAAAATCCCATTGAGATCAACGATCTCTTTTTCAAGGGAGACCTGCAGTACATTG